CAGAATTCTTGGAATCTGCATTCCTGCCACTTAATGATTGGCGTTACATGCTGTGCCTTGCTATAATAGTGTTGATTCAGCACTGTGGGAGCTTTCAGTTTGCTTTGAAAACTTGTAAGGTTTATGTATGTAGGGCAGGGGGGCTTGAGAGTGGTTCCAGAAAGACCACAGGCATTTTTTTTCCTGTTATCTTTAATATGTCTTATCTTAATGCCTTACACAGGTGAAAGATATGATCCTGAGCCCAAGTCAAAATGGGATGAAGAATGGGATAAAAAAACAGCTTTTCCATTCAGTGATAAGTTAGGCGAGCTGAGTGACAAAATTGGAAGCACGATCGATGATACCATCCGCAAGTTCCAAAGGAAAGATAGAGAAGACTCTCCAGAAAGGTGCAGGTACTACAGTTATTTTAACATTACTTTATTCTATGAAATTGCTATTATAAAGCTCTTCAACACTGCTGATTGTTAGTGATAATACTCTGTCATTCTTCTTGTCTGTATGGAAGCATGTTTGGGTTCAGTATCTGCTTCCTGGACTTCATATACAGCCCTTACAGGTCTTGGGGAATAATGCAGTTCTGTCAGAAGTTAACTGCTCTTGGCTGTCTTCCATTACTGCCCCTAGCTTAGATAGCTGCTGGCAAAGCAGGGAATTTGGCTGAAATTTCCTAAGCTTTTGTTTGTCTCAGCAATTCAGTGGTCTTCTTTGCACCTGTATACTGGAGGCTGATAGAGTTACTCTGAATGTGCAAGTGCCAAAGAGGAGGGAGATGTAAAACTGCTTAGACCTACTTTGACACAGTGCTCTTTCCCTGAGCTGATCTCAGGGAGAGCACACTGCAGGTGACTTACTTAAAACGATTTAAAAAAAGTCAATTTCAGTTGAACCTCCTCAAGAAACTTGTGTTTTACATCTGGGCATTAAATTTCTTCAGTAAGGAAGAAAACCTACCATGCTTTGCCTGCAGAAAGAACTGCACATTACAGTTCAACAGGTGCATTGAATTTTCCTATGAGGAGATCAAATTCGTACTTAACAGAATCTGAAATTGCTGTAGAGAGAGTGCTCAATAATTGCCTTTTGGGAAACAAAATTCAAATTTGCACTGAGATTTTATCAATATTTTTTACAGGAATATCTTCAAATGGTAATTACACACGTGTTTTTATACATGTGTGCATAAAAATACACATGCACACAGAGAGATGTGTATGTATTGCAGAATTCAAGCCGTTTTGCACAGAAACAAAACATAATGGTAGTATTTCTGAGGAAAAAGTGTGGTGTCCTTGCTAGGGCATTAATAAATCATAAAACCGGTATTCTTTGCACACATCAGGGTTCCCTCTTAGAGCATACTGTCAAAGAGAAGGGATCAGAAGAAAAGTAAACAATTTCAGTTTTAACAATGGTATTGCTGTGTGCTTTTCTGTACTTACCTTTCAAAAGCAACTTGTCACATGACATCTGGAAAGCTCACTATCCACATTCATGTAGAGGATGTACAGTGACCATTTTTTATCTTACTTTCTTCACTTTATTTCTGAATAGCTCTTGGTCTCCAATTTGTGCTGGTATAAAGTCTTGCACCTTCCAGTGTTTTTGACAGTCCTTTCTGCAGTCTAATCATTACCAAAACCAGCTTATTTTGAGGACGCTACCCCAAGTAACACTGGTGTTTTTCTCTGGCTAATACTACATGTTTCATTTTTGTCTTGCTCTTGTAACCCCTTCTCCCTTTTTATTTTTTCTTCTATTTTTTTGGTAACCATCAGCTGTGGTATTTGTCTAGAAATTTATGGAGTAGTAAACTCAGAAATTGAAATAAAAGGAGGAAGTTTTTTTGGACATACATGAGCAAAACCAATTGAGTAGTTGCAAGTTATCCTGCTATAAGAAGGAATCTAGCAATATGGCTTCTCCAGCATTGCTTTGGCTACCAGCCTGAAATTGCCTTTCGGCTTCTCTTGGCATGGTGATTAGACAACGTGGAAGGTATTTTCTCAGTATTGAAATGAAGGGGTTTCTTTCTACAGAAGATATAAAAGGATCTAAGAAGATTGTTAAGTTATAGAATGTCTATTTATGCTTAAAGATACTGTAAATATAAACCTCATTGATGTATTAACAGAATACTATATTTAAATAATTGAAACTGAAAGAAACATGGAATTTTAATTATCATGTGACTTAAGGTCACAACAACATAACTTTCTCTTGTAAATGCACCATGAAATCCATGCATTTCTGTGTTTTCACACTTCAGCAATTCTTCTTAAACACCAAAATAAGCTTCCAGAAATACACTAGTTTATTTGTAGCCTGCTGCTATATAACAACATTGAATTAAGTTGCCATTTTGCTTGGAAAAGGCTAAATGGTGATACTCGCTCAGCTGGCAAATCTGCTGTTGTATGTTCTATTGTTTCTATCTTAATAGCTTTATAAATCATTATTACTTTCGTACTGTAAAGCCAATAAAGGTCTTGAAGCACAAAGAATAAATGACTTGCATATCTTCAGAGTGGTTAATGGAATTTGGATGACACGATCCTTACCTCCAGTATACACACTAGGAGAACTTGGCCAGATTTCTGGATTTCTGACTCTACTTTCAAAGCTAGTAGTTTGCATGGAAAACAATAAAAAATGCTTGAAGCAATCAAGAGCTTAACCTGGGCTTGTGTTTACAGTAGATTTCAGTGGACCTGCAGCTCACACATCTAAGTCTGGAGAGAAGCCTAGTCTGCTTTTCCTCTTGAAAAGAAAAGTGTTAGTACTGCTGTGGGGCAATTGGATTCTTTTTTCCAGAGCTATATCCCCTTGGAAGCAAAGATCAGAAACAATACCCCATGGGGTGGGAAAACCCCAATTTTTCTTTCATAGTGCTTGTTAATTCTCAGGTGAATAAACCAATTGGTACCCTGAGTCAAGCCTTGTGTGCTGAAGTTGTTTCCTAAAATACCTGGAGGTATACAGAGGATCTTCTGAAACACTACACTTCATAAGAATTCTTAAAACTCTCTCAGTCCTTGTTTCTCCAGTATCCAGGAAGGTTGATGCAGGTAATGGAATAGAAAGGAAGCAAAGCTTTTAGTACATCTTTAAAAGGATGCAAGACCCATGTTTAAAGGCAAATTCCATGTAAAGGGTTATAGGGTCAGTAAACTATTTTTATTGCCTTAAAGAATGTTAAAAAAACCCCAACCCAAAACGCAAAATGCACACCACAAAAACCTTAAGGCAAAGAAGAAAGCATGTATCCCTAGTTTTAACTTCTGGAAGTTGTAACCATGTACTTCCTTTCAGAAGTCTTTTTAATTATTTGGTACAACGCCAGCTATAATTTTTGGTTTTAAGTTCACTCTGCAATTCTCAGGTGAAGCGCTGCAATTTACTGCTGTGAGCACAGTAAACACATTTAAAGGGAACATTAATCTGTAATTTTTTTTCTTTGTTAATGTGACCATGAAAGAAAAATAAAGAATGGATCTCCTGAGACAGCTTGGAAGCAGTACAGGTTGTCATAGAAAATTGAGGATTGTAATATTTGTCCTGCTTTCTGGCATATATATTTAATTTCTTTGCTCAAAAGCTTTTAGACATTTATTTTGCTGTAGATCACCAAAGACTTACTTTTTTTTTTTTTTTTTTTTTTTTTCATTTTTACATTAGTGAGATTGATCTCTACCATTTCTGTAGCAATAGCTCCATTGATTGGACTTTGATGCTTGTCAATCACTTAACCCACAGAATGTGTGTATGGACAAGACTCATTCTGAGTGATGACAAGAAATACATTGCAGCAGGTTTTGAGAGGCTGAGCCTTAGTTGTGATTGTCCTGGTCTTAGGTACTTTCATCTAAAAGGCAACATCATCTACACTCCCCTGAGGCTTTTAGGAATGATATACTGTGTACACCATGCTAATGTGCAGACCAGTCTTCTCTGGGGCTTGTGTTAAAATCCTGATGTCACAAATGAAAACGGGGTTAGAGGTCTTTGGTGCATTTGTGCACATAGGTAGGCTATGTGTAGAAATTCATAGCTGGAACAGCAGGCAACACTTGTGCAAGTCAGGGTTGAAATGCTGTGGAAGGATAAGGTGAAGGGATGCTATTTGAGCTCACTTGTCCACGTAAGGCTGGCTGAAGCAAATGCCCCATAGTTGTTTGGTTGGTGATATATTTCATTTAAAAAGGAAAGATTAAAAAAGGGAGTGAGCATTTATATTCACTGATGTTAATGAATTGAGCCATCCCCAGTGGTGAGTAGGTAATATGCATAGAGGAAATGACACACACAACGTATTCCAAAAAACCCACTATTGTTAACAGAGAACAAAGGCTACCCTCCAGAGTATATTGCAGTTACTGTCATATTCCCACTGACAAAGGGACAGCCTTTCTTAAATTTTGCAGGTTTAGTATTCTAGTGCATTATTAAAATGTAAAAACCCTTCCACTTTCAACTATATTACTAAGGGAATTACTATCTCAAAATACGTTTCAACAAATTGAATCTTTCTCAAAAGCAGTTTTCACTGTTACGCACAAATCTTAACCATGATGGTAACATGACTTTTGGTGAGGGTCAATTGGTTTGTTTGTGAAAGACTTAAAATACAAAAGTAGAAAATGTAATGGATTGAACAAATATCACACACTGACATCTAAAAAGTTTTCACCTGAAATGGTGACGCTTCTGTTCTTTTACATTTTAAGGCTGTGTGTGCTCTGATAGAAGATGATCTGTATCACTGCATTGCATAACTCTGTAAACATTCTTTTTCCACAAACATTTTGAAGAATCTGAAAGGCTGTTTCTCTGGGCTGGAATTCTTGAAATCTGTATTTGGTTCACTGCTTTCTGTCTCTTGGTCTATGTACAGACCAGACCTGCCAACTAAGATTCTTGTTGCTGAAGTGTTATATAATGTGTGGAGGAGTTCCTGTCAGAAGGTAATTAAATGTACTGGATTTAAACACTGATTTCCTATTAACCTTTGCTGTGGACTTGCAGTCCATGTTTATCAAAGTAATTTGCTTTTCTTCATCTCTTTTGTGCAGTAGGTGTAATGCTGTGTTATGTTGATGCATTAGGTAAGGGTAAAGTGTTTCCTTTCTCAAATGTAGAAAGAAGCAACATTTTCATTATGAATCATTGCCACAAGGAACTACAAAAGTTTTGTAGCTTAAGACATATTCTTTCGCTTTTGTTTTTCTAGTGACAGTGATGAAGAAAAATCAAGACGAGGTAAATCTCCCAAAGCTGAGTTTAAAGATGAAGAGACTGTCACAACGAAACACATTCATATTACACAAGCTACAGAAACTACCATCAGACACAAACGCACAGCAAATCCTTCAAAAACCATTGACTTGGGAGCAGCAGCACATTATACAGGGGATAAAGCAAGTCCAGAGCAGAATGTTGATGCTCATACTACACAGCCTACAGCAAAGGTGAGACCACACGAGAGCACAATAAAGCATGGTTTTGGGACCTCTTTTCTTCGGACCTCTGAGACAGTTTCTAGTTTAGGGTAAACTTTTTGTTATACAACCTTCAAGAGAACTATTTTATCAAAACTGTTTAGTTGGGGCTTTCAAAGGCTGTGGAACAGTTGAATTATAATAAATCGTTTGATTGCTCTAAGATGTAGAATTTTAAAAATCTAGTCATTACCATGTTGTGCTCGCTTCAGGAAAGCTAAGAAAAAATGTTGGCCTGAAGTTTGAAGGATTATCTGAACCTTCACACTTAACAAATTCTTCATTTATGATAAAAAAAAAAAACAACCATGAGTCACTGGCTTTTCAGTATTTGATTTTAAATTAAGCCACATTTCAGTGATTGCTGGCTTCAAAGACACATCTGCCATCCCTCCTGAAAACAAAAACCACCAACCCTAAAGCTGCAGAAAACTTCTCAAAGTCATGTAAGATGAGTGATGACATCATGAGATGACATCTGTTGTTATTTCTTCCTCAGGCTTCTGTACCCTCTAGCAGCAAGTCATCTAATGACCTGGTTGATCTGTTGTTTGATGGAGCTAGCCAGCCAGTTTCAACAGGTAGGCATGTCTTGGGTTTATTTTCTTAATGCATATTTTGAACTAACTCTGAGGATAAGCTTGTTTGATATACAGAGTAGTAGATAAATTGAGAAATGATTGCTCAAAAAATTTAGAGCTGCCTAAAATCCTTTGTAGCAGGGGTAGTGTATATGCTATTGCACGGGACTAATAAATGTTAGCAGCACAAAGATTAAGTGCCAGATCAGTCTGTCAGAAACTGTGTTTGTAATACAGTTATTTATAATTAACTCTAAAAGCAAATGCAATCCATTCACATTCAAGCTTTTCTCCTAGTGCAATTCAAAGGCTAGGCAGCTGGAGATGGATGATTTTCATATAAGCTTTCATCTGAAGTATATGGCAAGCTTGTTTCTTTATCTTATTTTGTTTTGGCACTTGGTTGATCCCAACCCTAATACCAAAAAGAAATTGCTACCTAAAAGTAAAATTATTCATTGTAAAACGTGTCCCTTCACTTAGTAAACACGCAGTTAAATTTTAAGTCCATTAACCTTCACAAGGACTTACGCTCTCAAAATGCACTTTCTTTTCAGGAACGTGTTTAAATTTCAGTGCATTGCATACAGACAGGATTGATAGAGATGTTCAGAGCTTTTGTGGTTTGCTTTGCAAAACGTAGAACTTAAAAGTGCTTTATTGTGCTTACAGGTTCTTCATATTGACAGGTTTGATTGTGGCTAGCACAGAATAGTAAAAGGATTTCCATGCACTTGTGGTCTAGTGGCACAGTTGGGAGAGAGTTAACTGTGGGCAGAATTTTTCTTTAAAGATCACTTTGCACAGCAAATAAAAGATGAGCATGTGCCTTTTTATAGATGGAAATGTTTCATGTAACTTCATTACAATTAAGCAAGTTGTCACGTAGAGGATCATATTCACATTGTTTGTACAAGTGTTATGTGTGTATCTTGGGAATGACAGATACTCAGCCTCAGTTTCTGTTTTAAAGATAAAGTGAAATCACAGAGGCTGTGCCAAAAAATCCCAATCCGGAGTGGCTGGAGGCCCACGTGTGGCAATGTGCCTGTGTTCATGTGTATGCAAAGACTACTCTTACTTCTGTCTGAAGCTATGGTACTTCTGGGTGTATTGTAGTGGAACCCCTGTAGTATGTCACACTAGATATTTTTATTATAATGTATAAAAAACCCTAGTATGAAGAGTACTTTATGTGATACAGTTCCTTTCATCACTAGGCTACCAAAATGCTATCTCTGAAAGTATTTAATAGAATATAAAATACATCAGAACTCTGGATGGGTGGGAAATTGTCATGGTAATTTAGGATCAGGAATCTGTCTCAATATTTTCTTTCTTATTTCTGGTAGTTCTTAAAAACTTCGTTCATTCTTATTTTTTGGAAAAATAGATACATTTTATATATCTGTTCTGAAATATGTCTTAATTCCTAATGATTAAGAGATAAAGTTCATTTTGTGTATCTGTGCTTTTATGCACAAATGCCCCCAGATTTAAGGAACAACTTATTTTACATTAATATCTATTTTATTGGCTTCATATACAAAGGTGCTCATTGCACGTTGGAGTTACTACAGTTCCATGGAATTTTAAGATCTTGGATCAGAACCACTACCCCTACTACTATCAGTACTGAAACTTCTCCTATGCAGTTAATACAGGAAATATATTAGATCCTTTTTTGCTTATTTATATCCATATGTTTATGTTTTTATTTTTATGTTTATAAATTAAATCACATTGAGAATCGATGCTTCCACTTCAAAGTGAACCTTCCTGTATTTCAAACAGAACTATGGCAGCTTCCATATTAGAGTGTATTTGAATCTTTCATCAGTTTGGTTCTTTGGTGTAGGGAGCCTTTCTTCTTTTTGCCTTTTTATTTCTCTTTCCAAAGCAGCATTTGGAAATGGTGTTGAGAAGAGGCATATTAGCAGCTGGTCCTGCTAAATAACCTCTTTGCTGACCTGGGAAGGCAGATGGAAAGGGTTCATTTGTAGTGACAGATCTCGCATGGGAATCTTTGAGGATAGCTCATGTTGAGAAGATAAGCACTGTCCTTCACGTGCAGGTCACTTGTTATGACCACTGTTCCTTGCAGCACAGGGTGTGGGAACATTCCCAGTGTCAGGCAAGACACAGGGAAAGGGTCAAATGCAGCCTTTGATTTATCCTGTGAAGGAACTGGCAGGGAAGTCATGTGAATTCAGGGAACTCAGAATTTGCTTATCTATGTATTTTCAGGTGCAGAGATGTGGAAGAAGGTTGGTGAGGCTTGAGGGGGGTTACACATTAAGTAAAGCAACACAATTTGTATACATGAGAGGGGTGGTTGGCTGCCATAAAGGAATAGTCTGCTTGAGAAGATGTAGAATCTGAGGTTAGGCCTTCAGGAAGTTATTTTTTGGTGTTACTGGAGATGAGGTTCTTTAATCTTAGCTGGTGATAGTGTTACGATTTAGTGTTACTGCATTCAGCTTTATCTCTGCCGCCTCTCTCTGGAACTCAGCATCATTTGAAAACAGGCAGTAGAGGAGCTGGAAAAGTTGACCTGACTGAAAATGTTAAGGGGTTATTTTGGGATTGAACCTAGTTCAGTTTTAAAGTTAAATTAATCCCTAGATACTTTGTCAGACGGCCCTGGATAACAGGCACACAAGAGCGTAGATTTTTTTGAGGACACGGCGGAGAGTATGCCGTATGTGATGCTCATTCTGCACAGAAACTCTCAATCCATTAACCTGTTCTGAACCCTGAAAGGACGTATGTTGAAAAAAGAAAGATTTGAAAATATTCATTGCAGTAGGCAGAGTAAACATGATCAGAACAGGTTTTTAGCTTGATGTTTCACTGGCTTGAGTTAGCCTTTTCATTCTCAGATTGCAGTCAGTATTAAACTTGCATATAAATATATGTAAGATGCTTATTAGATCACTTCAGAATTTGTCTTGAAGAAATTTATTAACTTTGTGTGAAATCTTCTCCCTCTTGAAAAAGTTGTAAAAGGATTTCAGTAGTGCTGTGTTCCTGAAAATTCAAATAGACCATCCTTCCATTCCCATCTCATGTCTTATATCATATGCTACACGCTCAGCAAGAAAAGACATTTCCCCTTGGATGAACAGTTGCCTTCCTGGCAATGTCTACAGTAAAATAACATTAAAAAGAAATACAAGTACACATGTATTAGAAAGTGAATGGTTCCTTTTATTACTGCTAGCCATTTATTAAAAAGGAGATGGTTCTAGTTTAATTAACCCAGTTGAGAGTAGCAGATGGGGCAGAATGTCTTGCAGCGATAAGACAATTCAGAAATGGCACCAGATGTTGGAAGCTGTCCCTGGTGGTGTTTGAGTGCAGCACAGATGTTCCAGTCCCACCTGGCTAGTTTCTAAGCACTGCAGGCTAAGCAGCTGTGATGTAACCTATATAATGTACGCATAACACTAAAAGCAAAATAATTGAACTGCTGCAGCTTCTTCTAAGGATAGGACTGCTTGGAGGTGAAATCTTTGAGGACAAACTAATAAGGTCAGCTTCTCTTAGCTTTCTCAAGTCAGTGGAATACCTACTTACAAGCAGTATCAATGATAATTGGATGATTCGGTTTTTGGTGGGTTCTTTTAATAGCAGCTTTACAATATAGTTCTTAGATCTTTCTTCTGGTTTTATACCTTGGCTGTATTTTTTTAAGTGAAAAATTGTTACTCTGCTGTATTCAGAAGTTAATAATTTATATGCTGCATACAAACGTCTGGTTGGAAAAGTTAATGTTCCTGCTGTAGAAAGGAAGCAAACTTATAAAAAAATGAACACAAATGCAAGCTCTGTCCTTGAAATCCCAACTCAAGATTACTGCAGAATCTTTCATGCTTTAAGTAGCACAAAAACTAAATATAAGGCGACACATAATTTTTCATAGTAAGTATAATAAATTCTCTTTTAGAAGATAAAAATATTTGGCTTTTATGTGTTACACTTCCAAAGTTGTAATTTTACAAACTGCCAAACTAGTAGCATCCCTCACTAGTTAAAAACCTGCTAATCTCTCTCAGTTTATTTTTAGGGATAGCAAAAACTTGGTATTTTAGTTCTTCCTTATGAAAACAAAATTTCAAGATCTGCAAGGCAGTTGGAAATAATCCAGTTTATTGTTTTATAAATATAGTATGGTGATGAACAGGAAGAACAGCACTGACTTAGGCAGCAGAATCAATAAATCCATTGTGCCAAATACAGAACAGCTTTTCTTTATAAATCCCACATGAAGTTGTTGCAATGGATCTTTGCGCAATCCTGTAACAGCATTTGGCTTCCTTCTGTTTCTAGGTGTATCAACTGACCCATTTGGAGGATTTGCTGATTTTAGTTCAGCTGCTGCTTCAGCAAGTTTCCCATCGTCGCAAGGTACGTTTAATTTACACGTTGAATTGTGGTTTAAGGGCAGAAAGAGGCAAAGAAATGCCACATGGTATTACTGAAAGTCACTTCCCTTTCCAGGGCAAACCGTGTTTATGTAGCTGTAAGGAAGATATCTACTGTCTGGCACAGCACGTGTCACATTGGACCTAAAACTTGTCATTAATTGTATTTCGGAAAACGTTAGTAGGAGTTACAAATATATCCCTGTTTATCTAATAATGTAAGCATACAAAAAGACTTAAAACATAGCTCCAAGTCTAATTTTGAAATGCGCTGAAAGGTGATGTGACTTCTGGAGTGGAAAAGTAGAATATGAATGGTCCAAGTGTAGGTCTAAATGCTGGCTGAAGCACTCACTAAACAATTAAGAAAGAGCCTAGCACATCCCACTTCTGAGCTGTGGGCAAGGAGCTGGATTAACTGATGTTCTACAGCGATGAATGCTTCAAGAGGATGGTATTTGTGTTTCAAAAATGATTGGAAAATTGGCTGTAGTGATCGGACCATTCACATTATTAACCCTCATAGTCTTCCCAAAGTTATCGGCAAGGTTATTCAACTATTTTATTTGCAATTAAAAGCAGCCATTTTTCTAATACTTCAACTCAAGAGTTTACAAGTTTGTCAGATATAGGTAGGAATTAATTATATTAAAAAAAAAGGTAGCTGCTCTGGTGGGATAAAGACTTGCACAAAGTGCTTGGTAGTCTGGTTTGCTTGCTTGTGACAATGCTGTGAACTGCAAGGTTCTCGGAATGGTTTTGTGCTGCTGTCTATAGTTTCCAAACATGTGCAGAGGGCCCATTGCTTTAAATCTCAATGTTACAGGCAGGACAGTAAATTAAAAGGGTAAACTGGACACAAAGAAAAAAAGATGTGATCATGTTCAATGGAATATAGCAGCCTACCCATGCTAGAAAAATAAGGGTCCTTAAAGACGTCCTCAGCTCCCACCTTTCATTGTTTAGACACACAGTTATGTTGGCCAAGTGAGATGGCATAACCAGGGGAGCCTGGGACAGGTGATTTCCAAAGCTTCCAATGTCGTCTGGGTAACTATTGGAACCCTTGGTATGTTGGAGGGGAATTTAGTTGAGTTATGTCTTCTGTATGCAGTATAACCTTGCTGATGGCTTTAAAGTTGTATATATGCATTTGTGGGATGAAGCTGACCAACACTTTATATTAGCTTGGCTAAATAACAATTTCATACAGTCTTTTTTCCCTTTAGGAGAAGCCTATTAAATAAAAGATATCGAGATCTTAAGTCAGGCATGAAGAAGTTCCTGCCAATCTCAAAAGCAAGATTTTAGTAATGCTGGTTGGGCCAACACTAAGTTTTGCCCTTGCCTGGCTGCATGGCATGCAGGTTAGAGCTGTCAGGTGTCCATATGGTTGGCTCCGTGCATGCACAGCCATATTGCCTGCAAACATCCAAGTTATTACATAGGCATGGCCACCATCTGAAACATGTTTCCCTTAAAATTGGACTGGGAAAAAAAAATATACTGGGAAGACATTTAAAGTAATCAACTTTTCTTTTTGGTGGAGTATTCTGGGAGCCTGCAGCACTACCCAGACAGGGCAGTGCTGCAAACAAACATGGGCTGGAGGGAGCTGGCTGGCTGTCTCTTAAGAAGTTAATTTGGGCAGTACTGGTATTTGGCTGGGAGTTCTCAGCCAGGGTGTAGGATTAAGTCCAAAATGAGAAGAGGATAACAAAGAGATTGATCAGCAAATCTACCTGCGAGCCATGCTTATATCTCTTCTGCCAGCATGCTTATGTCTCTTGATATAAGCCAGCATGCTTATATCTCTTCTGTTGCTTTGCTGTGTTAGGAAAGCTGCACTAGGCATGGGTTAGTTAATACACCTTTAATTTGCTTGGCAGGAAAAAACTGCTCTGATTTTTTTTACAGGCTTTCCTAGTCAAAACCAAGTTGTTTTGCAAACACAAAGCCGCCTACTATGCAAATAATTTCTGTGTTAATACAGTCTTAAATTGATACAATCCTTTATCTGCATTAACATGATTAATCTATTCCAATCACCATTATGCAAGGGACAAGGAGTGTTGTGAAATGATTAATCATTCCTGAACAGCATAAGCCCCCCTAGAAATCTTTTCCTTCTTGATTAATCATCTTTGAAGTTCTACTGAAGGGGCAAAACCTTATCCCTTTTACCCCCAGTTCCTTTATTGGTGCTCAGTGCACCGGTCTGAACATAGAAGGAGCACACTCAGCATTTACTTATCTATCAGGAATATTTAAAGTAGGTTTTAATTTTTAATATGTAATACTAATTGAAACATTCTAATATAGCCTCTCTTTGTGAGGGAGATCAAAGCAAATGTTCTAGTAAGGCCCTAAGCTAATGAATATTAGTCCACTTCGTGCACTGAAATTGTTGGCAATACTTGGATTCTCTGAACAGATTTACTCTCCTACTATTCTTTAAATTCTAATGTATTGGTAAAGATAAAGATGACTAAAGCTTTAAGGTGTATTTTGATGAATATTTACATGGAGTGTGAAAGACTGCTGCAGGTACCTTTCGAGTGGGTAAAATACAGTTGTAGAAAATTGCTGTGGATGTCCCTTACAGAACTAGCCATTGTATAAGTTAGGAACAGCAACTGGCACTGGATTCATCTACCCCTGCTTTCCATTTGAGTCTTTATTCACTCGTAGAAAGAAATTCAAGGGGTGAGTTAGCTATTCAGTAGAACTTCATTTCATATAGCAATGATGTTGCTTGTAGCTTAGCTGAAGTCCTAAAAGTGAGATAATCAAAAAGCTGACCTGTACAATGGCCCAAACTTGGAACATGATGCACGTGTAGCAATGAGAGCTGTGTAAATGGTGTTGCTTTATTTTTAGCATCTCCTGCGTATGTTTTTGTAAGCTTTTCTTCCCCTATCATGGTAACCCTTTTCTTGTTAATAGAAAAACATGTGGTTTTAAGGGAGATAACATCTCCTCCCATTTGTCTCAAAGGGTATGACATATTCTCAGTTCACTGGTTTGTGTCTCTGGACAAAATAGGTACCCTTGGAGTTGTCTACGAACAGCTTATACTGTTAGGCTCTTTGCAGTAAGATACAGAGCGAGCAGTAAGTTGCTGTGTTTTGATTTAAATGCTTGTCTACAAAGCCCCTGGTATATTGAAATGAAACAAAGCTTAAGTGATGAACTAAGAGTTCAGCAAAGCTTCTGCTGAAAGAATTGCTAGATCCAAGATTGCACTTCTGCTTCAAGCCAAAGCATTTAGTTCATGAATCAAATTTGGAAAACTTAATGTGTTTTACATGAGCACTTCATGGGATGGGAAGAAATTATTCCTTATCACTTCAAATAAGAATTTCCTGGCAACGTGCTTTCAAAGTTCTGGGATTTATTCCCCTCAGCACTGTTTTATACAGTAACTAATTGTATATACCAAAGTTTGAAGCCATTGTCTTTGTTTTGTCATGAAGGAGTTTGCTTTATCAGGTGGCTCATTCCTGGTAACTGTACTCTCAGCAAATAAGTGTCATCAAAGTTCTAGGTGTTGTTTTAACTGGTCTCCAATCCACCCCTAAGTTACCTTTCAGTTGTATTTCAGCTAAAGAAAACCTGTCCCTGCTTGTCTTGCATCCACAAGTGACATGTTATCAAACATCATTCTACTTTCTGTGCATGGGTGTTTCATATTTCTTTTGCTACCTTGTTAAAACTGTTGGAATATTCATGAGAAGGAATGATGTCCAGATGGAGGTTCTACCTGCAGATGTTAATCTGGACGGACACAGATCGGCTCTCATTTGTTTCAGTTCATGGAATATGGCATTTGCTCAGTTCCTTTCTTGAAGTCTTTTGCCTTTCTTCTGTCTTCCTTCTTCTCACACTGTGGCCTTTCCTTCAGGTACAGCAACAAGTGGAAATGGAGACTTTGGTGACTGGAGTGCCTTCAACCAAGCTTCTCCTTGTCCCAGTGCTTCATCTGGAGAGCTCTTCAGCAGCACAGCACAGCAGCCAGCTTTAGAGCTCTTTGGTAGCTCACAGACAGCTTCAAGCCAGCCTCCAACTGCTTCAAATTCTACTGATCTTTTTGATTTGATGGGCCCCTCTCAGACAACCATGACCTCTTCTCAGAGTATGAATTTCTCTATGATCTCCAATGCTGTAGGCATCAGTTTACCCATGTCAAGGTCACAGGTATGCTGCTATTTGTACAGTTTGCTATTGACCTTCCCCAATAAAACGTTTCTCTTCTCCTTAATCACAACATTGAAAATTAATCCATTCCACTTCTGAAACCCATACCTAGTCACTTGGATGTTGTGGTCATCATCTTGGAAACCATAACAGGTCAATTTGGTGTTAGGAGGAAAAAAAAATCAGTATTTCTGAGTTCAAAACCTGACTACAGATGATCACTGTCATTCCTCATACTGATATAGGAGCTTGATGCTAGCTTAGAAGATACTCTGCTCTGATGGTATAACAGCACATGGCAACACTGCTTTGGAAGAGCTCCGTTTCATGGCTAAAAACCTTATTGTCTTGTGCAGAAAATGAATACTTGTTGTTTAGTCCTGATTCCTATTGATAAATTGTTTCAAGTGGATCCCAACAAACTTTTCTTTTTTAGCCTCTGCAGAGCGTGGACACTATGATGCCGAAGCCTAACCCTCTTTATAATGCAAGCACGGAGATGGTCCAGAAGAATGCAAGCAAAACTCTACCCTCAACTTGGTCAGATCCCAGTGTAAATATCAGTTTGGACAATTTAGTACCTGGGATGCAGCCTTCCAAACCCCAGCAGCCATCACTTAATACCATGATGCAGCAACAAAGTAAGTGATTATTGCACTGATTTGCATGCACACCAAGCCCTGTATGTGTTTGCCAGGTTGTCCTTGAGATGGAGTGTTCTGACAATTACTGTTTTCCTACAGTTAGTCATAATTGTTTCTTAAACTGCTGCAGCGGTTGTGACACAAGTGGTATTTTCTAAATGGAGACTGATGTGCTAGAAAGCTGTTACCTGTGCATGTTTTTACTACAGAATTTGTACCATTGCTGCATCTTGATTTCAGGCTTCTTGATCTCTAGAATATGCACAGTAGCACGTATTGTTACAAAATGCTATTTAAAACTCTTATAAAGGTTTTCTGACTCTTCACACAGAAAGTAGGCAAACAAGTGAAGTAGCTACATTATTGGCCATCATTATCTTTCTTCACAGCAGTTACCACATAAATTTCTTAAAATACATGAGCACTTTGAGCATCAGATTCTGGGTAATGGTTTTTGCTCCCTGTTCTCTTCTTTGCAGATACACAACAACCTATGAATGTCATGACTCAAAACTTCGCAGCCGTGAACCTCAGTCCTCAGCCGAACATGACGCCTGTTCGACCCCAGACAAGTCCATTGATGGGAGGGCCCATTCCTGTGGGGATGGGAATGCCCAGTGTGATGTCAGGTACGATGGGAATGACCTCCATGGGACCCACGCCTATGATGAACCAGGGAATGATGGGAATGAACATGAACATGGGAGTGCTAGCTACAGGAATGGGTTTGACGGGCACAATAGGAATGGGAATACCCAATATTGCTATGACCTCTCTCACTCCTGGGACTGTACAACCCAAGCAAGATGCCTTTGCAAATTTTGCCAATTTTAGCAAATAAAGATTGTAAAATAAATGAAATGAAAGAAAAATGAAAACAAATGGGCAGATGGAATGAAGGATTTTTAGCTGCACAAATATAGCTGGGGAAGGGATGGAAAACACTGATCAATACTGCTTTTTTTTTTTTCCTTTATCAGTTAAAGTGTCTACATAAAGAACCAAAAGCTATTTTCTAAGTGTTGAATAACTAGTGTTCAAATTCTGGAGAGGTGAAAGGTTCTTCTAAGGAATGCATGAGATGATTTTGCAAACTGATTTCTATTGAGACCATCAAAAAACCTTTCCTATGTAGAAGAACCAATTTTAACTTTGAGACTTGATGGAAGGCTGGAAATGGGGTTTGGGTAAAAATGTTTGAATCTAATTTTATACCTTTCTTTTTTCTTGAAGAGCTTGACTTTCTTTCCCCCCCTCCCCTGATCGCTTTGTCATAATTGGATCATTCCTTTTACTATCACTGAGTCCGCAATTGAAGTCACTCAAGTACTATGATCAGTTTTTTATAAGAATATATATTTTTGTCCAAAAAATGGCTTACATATGTGATTATGGCTAATTCAAAGGGACCTGGGATGTATATATACTTTTGCTAATGTTCCAGCCGCACTGCTACGATACCCAAATTTTTATTGTAAAAATCCTCTCTCAGCAATTTGGTGATCAAGATTTTGGGGGTCTTAACATGCTTCTAATGTTGTAACTGATATCCAGTCCGAGTCTGGGAAAAGCTTTATCCGAGACTGTTGGAAGGTTTCCTTTCAGAAAATGCACTTTCTTGCAGTTCTTTTACAGTGGCACCTGGCATCCTTTGTACCACCAGTATCCCTGTGGAGCCACTGGCTTAGAGCAGCAGCAGCAGTCAAAAGGCAAAAATACTTATTTTTTGCATAATGACAAAACCAGTAAAGGTGAATTACACTTAAATTATGTAATTCTGTGAACCCACCTAATCCAACAGCATTGGATCTTGGCTTTTATACAACAATTATTGCACAGATTCTTTTGTGTAAATATGGCATTAGCAGCTGTGGAATCCAATAGAGGAGTAAAATATATATATATTAATAAAGGAAACCTGTAGCAGTCAAAAGATTTTACTGATTTACTGAAAACAAAAGAATGAATTAAGGTTTTGGGGGTTTTCGGTTTTCCTTCTGTAATTCTGCATTTCAGTTCACATGAATCATGATTCAAGAATCTGGAATACAAAGACATTGTTATATTCACAAGCCGGGAACATTGTTAAGAATAAGCACTATACTATAGGTATGAAATTTATTGCCTCCCTTTTCTTATGTTGGATTTCTTTTTTATTATTAAATTGATAAAACTTTGTTTCCATTGTATTCATAATGTTCTGTTATACATAACATTAAAATGTTCATTAAAATCAATGTTGGGCTGCTTCTCCTTTCATTCCATTTGACGTTTATGAGAGCATTTGGGGAAAAAAAATAATTATAATTTGGGCAAAGTAATTTTTATAAATAATTTAAAATTGTTTAATGACTTCTTATCTGAAGCCTTTCCTATCTGCCTCTACTGTTAGGAATTAAAAATGAAGCAGGCAAGATATCCTGACCTGCTCCAGCCTTGCTAATGCTCCATCTACAACATTTCTAATTAGGCAGAAATTCATGTACTTCAGCTAAGTGGTAATGAAAAGTGATTCATTTGCTGAATAAGAGATGAGAGTGAGTGTAATTAGCTGACTGCGGTTTTTAATCTTTCAACAATTCAATGTGTTTAAATTAGTTTCAAAGAATAGGAGCTTTCAAGTGTTGTTACATCAAAGTAATCAAGGCAAAGCTTTAACGGCTGAGCAGGAGAGATCGCTCTGGTTCCTGTTCTGAAACCTTTAAACTTATTTGGAATAATCATCTTCAAAACCTCTGATTCTAACAGCTGGGAAGACTCAAACTGGTTCAATATATGCAAAACTGTGGTGGGAAGAAAGCTAGTTCCTGGGGAAGGTAGATGGGTGACAAGAAAAACTAAACCTGTAGTCATTGTTGCTGTCTTAGCTGTGCTGAAGGGGTGCAGTGCTTCTCAATAGTCTTTAGAAGGTTTTTGGAGGAGAAGGGTGAGTCTATTCATAATGCTGTCTTTAAGGAAAGTTTAGCTGGTTAAATAGTTGGCTTTGTGTTGAAAGATCACAGCCTCGTTTAGGTTGCTCCTGGCTCTTCAGAAGAGCCAGTGATTTAGCTTCTAATCAAGAGATTAATCATAGAAGCATATTTGTCAGGGGTTAGAATAACTCCAGTGGAAAACACTTGCTCAGTTTAGAGTGGATCTTTGTGGTTGTGTCCATTATATCTCAGTCAAGGGTACACAGGCTTATAGAGCAGTTGTAGTACTGAACCGATTCACTGCCCCTACCATAGTTGTTTATCTTATGGATCATTCATTGTCCTAATTATGAAGGAGGTTGGTTGGCGTGTGAAAAGAAGGGTTTTTTCAGCCAGGCAGGCCGTCTGCAGGTGGATGAGAGCTAAGAACATCCTTTGAACCAAACAAACATCAGAAAACTCGGAATGATTCCTTGCATCTTTAGCTTATATTGACTGGAGCCCATTGCACAGGAGTTTTTATCCCATTCTCTTTCCTCCACTTAAAGGACATAGATCACAGGCAGCAGTGCTTAGCAGGATATGGTTTACATCTTTAGATAAAGGCCAAATATAAAGTGGGTTGTGTTTGCTTAAAACAATATTGAACTAGTATAATATGGTTATCGTAAAATGTTTTCATATCTAATATTTCAAGTACGAGAAACATAATGTATTAAAAATAGAAGTTATCATTCAAGGTAAAAATACAAATGAGCTGCTGTGTGAATAGAGACAGATCTACCATTTATTGGCTGCTGCCTAGTATAACTTGAATATAACCCAAATCATGCTACTCTGTTAGTACAACTCCTTCTCCATTTTTATAGCCAGATCTGGCTGTAACTGAACTGCCCAGTAGCCTGAGTGTGCTTATGTTATCATGGTAGTGTCCAGGCTCATGAGGTTCAGAAGCCCAACTGTAAGCCTTGTGACCACTGCCAGCTGTAGCTGCGTGGACTTTTCACACTGGGCTGAAAAGCAGCAACTATCAGGCAAGTTTGGAGCCTACAGGGAGTAAATAGAGGGAATTAATTGGTCATAAGAGTTAAATTTTACTTCTGGATTCTGCAGCTTCTAGATTTAATAATAGTTCACTTAAATTAGTGAAATCCTTAGAGTGGATGTCTCTACTTAAGAGGAGGTGTAAAGGGCATCAGAACCATCCCCTGTGCGCGTGTTTTATATAATCATTCAAAAAATGCATCTTGATGTGTACAAAGGAGTAATAAATTCCAGCACAGGTGCAAGTTCAGTGATAACTAGAGCATCCACCATGTTCTACAAAAGAAATTATACTCAAACCAGCTAAACAAGGGTATTTATAGCAGCATCTGTTTCAGCTAAAGCTGTCAGGTAGGAACGGTCTGACAGAGCTGACGGGAGGTGGGGGAGGGATTTATCAATGACGTGTTTACATAATGCAGGCAGGCGTTGTATACTCAAGGTGATACCAACTATAACAGGATAACAAATATCTAAAGACACTTTTATTCTCAGAGGCCTTTGCTCCAGGAGTTACTCTACAAAATTGCCTCCATGTTCCTCTGTGCATGACTGTAAACACTTTTATAGCATATGACATTTTATAGTAGCATCGCTTGGTTCGGATTAAAGCTTTTAATGGAGATGTGATTTTTAAAATACCTTTTTTCTTCTCCCCAGTTTCATCCCAAGTTGTCACTGACCAAAGTGAAACTCTTTCTTTAAGAAAAATACTTAGTTTGCAAAGGAAACTTCTTTCTATTTTTGTTAGTACTCAGAACTGTCAGCACAGTTGAACTAGAAGTATGAAGGAGAGAACTGGAAACTCAATACAGAATCATAGAATGGTTTGGGTTGGAAGAGCCCTTAAAGCTCATCTGGTTCCAAACCCCGTGCCAAGGTCCCTTTCAGTGCAAATCATTGTATGATTCTATGAAAAGAAAAAATAGTAAGTAAGTTGCAAAGACAACTAGGTGAGCCCGGTTAATGTTGTGAGACTGAAGAGGATAGCCTGTGGAATCTGTAAGTCAATCTGTACAGCTTGTTCAATGATCTGGATACAGCTTGATCTAGCTGGGATACTGTGCAAGTTGCTTCTCTCTGAAAAATGACCTTTAAACATGAGATGTGTCTCACTTTCAGTTTTTATGTGCTTCTGCATCCACTATTCAGATCGGGAAGGACAAGAGGTAAGAGAAATTTTGCAGAACATGGAAAACAAAGAAAGGTGCCTTTGCAGAACTTGGTATATCCCTGGATGGCTGCAGCTGATGATTCTTTACATGGAGTAATCCAGGTCTTTCCATCTAAGTTCTGCATGTGTACAGCACAGCAAAGGCTCAGCTCCTCTCTGTTTTCAAATATGCCTTTACCCCTCACAAATTTGCAGATCCTACTTTTTTTCTAAGCATGCCATAAGGTACTGGTTCAGTAATTAACTGGTTCTTTAATAGAGCTACAATTACTTTGTTTCATGATAAGGGGAAAAAAAGAATGCATTCCAAGACAGAGCTACTTTCGACATCTGGGAACCTCCTAACAGCTGGCTATCTAATGAATATGCATCTGCTTAAGAGGCTGTAGCCCATTAATAAACCAATAGATATAAAACAGAAACAATCTTTGTCAGCCTCAAATGAGATTGGATGCAATGTGCTGTGAAGTGTCACCGTCACATTGAATCGAGCCGGGGAGGTTAACAGCCCCTGGGTACCCGCAGCGGAGGAGGCGGCTGCAGCCAGTGGACTCCCAAACACAACCATAGAATCAACTAGGCTGGAAAAGACCTTTAAGATCATAAAGTCAAACCTCTGAGGGTGGTTTCTGCTGAGTTTTACTTCCTCATTTCTCCCGGTACCAGTTGTGTTTGAGGCACTGATGACCTTTTATTTGCAGGTCCAGCCAGTGTGTCTATTTTGGTTTGACAGAGGAGGGTGTGAGTTTTCCTACACAAATGATTTGAGCAACAGGGGAATCAGTCGTGTATAAATAACTGGGGAGAAGTTACAGGAATGTGATAAAAATGCACCTATTTGACAGACCTGGGGCTTTGTAAGGAGGCTTGGAACAGCCCTGGAGCCATGTTGTACAACAGCAGTGTTGTAGGGTGAAACAAACAGTTAAAACCAGTGACACTTACCTCCTTTGACTGTGTGAGTATCTCTGACCTCTGAAGAGTTGTACCTGCACTTGTTCCAAGGTGTGCAGTAGCATCATATGTTGTCCCAACTTGCAGCAACATTTGGTATCCTGTATTTGTATTGTTGTGCACCTTTATTTCCTGTGGCAGCTCCCATAAAATGTGAACTGGATTTAGCATTATTTTAGGCACCTTCATCCCATCTGCCCAGTTCTGTAGCCCAGCCCAGGTTAGTCCACTATGTTCTTCCTTTCAGGGGATAGTCCTGCTAAACAGCAGCCTCTTGCAGCAAGGAGCATTGTTTTGATGAGAAATGTTAATGATGTAGAATTTTCCAAAGAGAAAAACTCTGATTTCATCTTAAGCCACTGTAATGGCAGAAGTTACTGTCAACTGTTGGGTAAACCTGCAACAGACATAGGGGTAGCTTTTATTTTTAGTTCTAGGGAAGTGGAAGTCTTGTATCACAGCAGGACACTGCTTTAGAGCCCGACTTGGGCCATAGATGTGTTAGATCCCAGCAAACTCTCTGTAAACTGAGATTTGGAATTATTTTCTTTGTATCTGACTGCTAAAGGGCAGTCATACATTTAGCAGAAAGATCACTGTAGCATTAAGCTTTCTGCCCCTGATTTACAGGGTTTTGTTATGAGAAAAAGGAAGCAAGGAAAGTTAAAATGGGAAGATGCCCTGTAATTACTGCTGATCTTTTTTAGCAACTTCACAAGAGAGAAAACTGCTGCACTGTGTATCATCACATTGACATAATTTAAGCCAAAATCTGTTAAATATATTGATTGATTTAATTCCTAGAATAGTATTTGTCTTGCCCTTAATTACTAAATTTTAAGCCAGAAGATTATTCAAAGCCCGTTTCAGCCACACTGGTGACAAATCTAACTTCTCAAAAGTCAGGTTTTACATCAAGGGTTGGTGTAAAGCTCCACACTACACTCAAGCAGTTGTGGGTTTTGCAGGGGTATAATTTTCTGCCCTGTGCAGCCACAGCCCATGGCTCCAGGCAGGAGCAAGTGCTCACCCATGTTGAGTGGAGCAGGTAGGTCACAGATTAGGCACCCACCTTCCCTCTGCCTTCAGCCCAGCATTAGCAGGACTAAGATGTGATGGTTTTATCTTTTTTGAGACAGACAAAAGCGCAGGC